CGAAAAATATTAATAGTAATATACAAAGAATATGTATGAATTTGAAATGAATTGTTACGAATTACAAACGAAATATTATGAATTGCAAGTGAAATGTTATGAATTTCAAATTCAACTCTTTGAATTTCAAGTGGATTTCTTTGAATATTAAATGAACCTCTGCGAATTTCAAATGGAAATATACGAATTACAAACGATTTTTTTTAGTTTTAGATGGAATGCGCGTATGTTAGAATTGGTCTAATAGCCCTTTCCTGTATGTGATCTTTCCATTTAAGTTTCCTGTCTATGATTACTCCCAGATACTTAACATTGTTTGATATGGCTATCAATTTGTTTTGGATGATGGGCTCTTCATACTGACCTATGTTTGTCTTTATGTTGAAAAGGCATATCTCCGTTTTGTCCCGATTTCCTTAGCATATAGTTAACCTAGTCTATGATTGCCCGGTCAACTTCAATGTCAATGGATACTGCTAAGGTATACATTTTCTTAGCGAAGGTGCCCTCAATATGGTGTACTACCTCATTTAAAGCGGTTTCCACTGATCTCCCCTTTACATACGCATGTTGTTTATATTTCAGCGTATCGTTTGGTATGCTGCTCCATGTCGATTGTTCCATGGTTTTGTGTAGGAATGATGTTAGGCTTATTGGCCGGTAAGATTTTGGTGTTGCGTAGTTTGTCTTACCGGGCTTGGGTATGAAGACTACCCTGGCTTCCTGCCAGGCTTTCGGAGTGTACGCAAACCATATACAGTATTTTTCGGTTAATTGCACTTCAAAATTTGCACAAATTTTTGTTCAATTAACCGAGGAACCAATTATCCGAACCCGCTTAATTGAATAGTTTGTTCAATTACAGTAATCACGTATAATTTGAACTTCAATGTCAAATACAAATTAAGCTTTCTCGCAGTTTTTCCTTAGCAATAAACATATACATTATGTCAAATATGTATGCAAAAAATGGCAGATTATTTTTCATTTATTATTAAGCAATTAACCGGTGAAAAGTAAAAGGAAATTTATTTTTGATGACATGAATTTTGAACCAATTAAGCGGGAAAATCAATTAACAGGGTTTAATTGTCTTCAATTAAGCGTGGAAACCAATTAACCGTAGGGTCAATTAACCGAAAAATACTGTACATGCATTAAAGAGTGCGACTATATTTGGTGATAAATATAGCTTTCTTTTTATAGTAAAGCGGGGAAGACGTTGTCTGGTCCTGCTGGTGGGAAGTGAGCATTCATCAGAAGTCTTAAAGGTACCTTAATTGTTTCTACCTTGTTACCCTCACCATTTACCATAGTTTCGGTTTGGGTGTGGGTTTTAGATAGAAACTTCTTGATTTTTGAAACGTTCACAGTGTCCACCTGTTCGCAAAACTACTTCCAGTTGTTGCGTTTGGTCGTTCTACTCATTTTATTGTTTACTTCCGTTTATCGTGGAAGTTGTCCCAGAATACTGTGGATTTTTTCCGAATCTCCCCTGTCAACCAGGCTTTTTTAAATGCAGATTTCCCTTCTCGAAAAAGACAACTTTCCTCGAAAGACTTTCAATTATTTCCGTTAATTTGTTGAGGTTTCTGTCTATGTCATTTCTTTCTAGGCGTTCATAATTGGGTTGCCCTAAACTTTATCCAGTTAGTTTTGGACTGGAAGTATATGGGTTTCGGCGGTGGCCGTAGAATTTTGAACATAATATATTTATGGTCAGAAAAGAAGTACTCTTCTGAGACTCTCCATTCCTGGACCTCATTTATTAAGTTCGCTGAACATATAGTTATATCTAATACTTCCTCTCTAATTCTGTTATTATTGAATATGTCTTGCTACATTGAAAGCTTTTAGGCTTTGAGTTTCATGACAGTGTTGGTCGGTTTTAGAACCTACAAAAATCTGTTAATAATAGAAATTGTTGCCGATTTTAAAATAGGGTCAAATTTTTATGAATCGTGGACCTACAATAGATACGTTTTATTATTATTTTTTATTTTAAATATGTAAAAAATGTTGAATCCAAGTAAATTGTTTAATTTTTTTATGTCATCAATTTTTATTTCCAAAATCTGGCCGCCTTACGTTAAGTCAAGTCGCCCCCAATAAGTCTCCAAAAAATAAAATTACTCCAAATTTGTTAAAATAACATGAACAAACTCCTTAAAATACACAAAAATGGTCCTGATTCTACTCAGAAAGTGGAAGTAAATATCAAATTTTAAAAAGAAAACGTTTTTACATATAAACTCAATTTTTATAGACTCAGCCTTGAGGCACTAATGTCAGTCTGGCTCAGTGTGGCCAAAACTTGATTGAAAAAAAATGCTAGATTTTTTTTAAAATATGCTAAAAAGGGATAAAAATTTTAGAAAAGTGCAAAAAAGTGCTAAAACTGAATATAAAAAATTGTTTAGTTTTTAATGAGATCTACTTAGAAAATTATTTATATACTTAAATACGAATAAGGAAATTGTTGTATGTTGTATAAGTAGTTGTGTTCCAACAGTTTGTAACGTCACGAAATATTGGTCCTGGACTCACATTTTAGTATACGAATCAGTATATATCGACAAGCTGATTCGTAATAGATATGTGTGTCTGTCCATTAACATTTGTGAACAAAGTAGCAGTCACAGCTGTGAAACAATTGTAACGATATTTTGCATATCCGGTACTATCCAGTGAGGACACTTATTGTGTTTGGTAAAATCGGTCAATATTTGGCTGTTGAACTCAACCAAAAGCATTTAATATGCGTTTCTGGCCTCTTTAAATACACAAAAATTGTACATGAGGGAAACGCTAATGAATAAGCATATTGAGAGTGTCTAATTGACCATGACTTTTGTGTAAAAAAATGCAAAATTGGCATTCTATGCCATATACATTTATTCCAGAAGGACAGAGACCGGGTGTGGGAGATGAAATGAACGAAAAACTAGTGGTTTTTGTCCCGATGCCACTTTTATAACCCAAACCGCAATAAACCAATAAATACGGGAAGAAGAAGTAAAGCCAAGAGAAGTAAAGCTGACTTTTAAATGTATTTAAATTATACTGATTTATACCCGCCATCATAGGTGGAGTGTATAAATTTGTCATTCCGTTTGCAACACCTCGAAATATTCATCGAAGAACCCTCAAAGTATATATATTCTTGATGAGAATAATATTCTATGTCGATTTTCGCATGTCCGCTAGTTGAAATTACGATAAAGGTCGCAATATTTAGGATAGAGCTCTGAAACTTTGCAGAGGCTCGCTGGTACTCCTAGTATGTTTGGTATTGCAAATGCCATATATCGGTTCAGGTATTGGTCTAGCCGTCATATAACGGTACACCCAATAATCGGTATTTTGGACACATTTTCCAATCAAACTGGCTGTAATTTGGTATTTTGGGTTCCCATTGAATTACAAATATCCGTACCAAAAAATTTTAATATTGAAGTTTCAGGGTATTCCCCATATCTCTCTACCAAAAGTATCAATATTGATCTCCGTTTTATTATAGCCATATAAGGGTAGCCCCACTATTTGATGTTTTGAGAATTTTAATATAGTTTGCTCACATATTTTTGGGTATCATAAGATGAATTATAAAAAGTTCGGCCGTCTTTCTTTTTTTACTTGTTATTTTCTGAGGTGGATATTTCGCAGAATTTTTCACCGACACGGCAATTAGTTTCGCAAAAATTGAAGTCTTGGGGTAGTTGCGTAGGGATATGGATAGCCGTCTCACTGGAAAAAACATTGGAAAATCTAATCCACCATGTGAAACATAGGAAACTTCAATGTGTCAATGTGAAATCGAAAAACGAAATTTTTTTTAGAGTGCTACTTATTTTTTTTTTTTTTTTAAATCCTGGAACAAATTAAAAATGCTAAAAGAGTGCTAGATCAATTTTTTTTTTGTGCTAAACGATTTTAAAAAGTGCTAAATCTAGCACTAAAAATGCTAAATTGGCAACACTGGTCTGGCTGGATAGTGCGCAAGATAACTCCTACCCTACAAATGGTAAAATTGTTGCTGAAAAATAAATGTTAATATCCTGCGAACGGATTGTACGTTTTGATCCAAAATTTGCATAACCTAATACCGCGAAAGTATGAATTATTGGTCCACTCCTTGTGGCACATCCCCTCACTAAGGGGTTACAATTTGTATCCGATTTGACCCCCACTTGCACAAAAGTAATATTTTTACCAAATCGAGATCATATCCACATATGCAGCGTATTGGTTCACTCCTTCTGGTTATTCCCCAAAGGGTATAGAACTTTAAAGACGGCAAATCTTGATAGATTCCGAAAATGGGTTCTATGGATCCACTCCCTTAGGTACCTCCTCAAACAATTGTCAACATCTCGTGTTTGTTTACTTTCATAGCCCATGTGCTATTATAATGTTGCACAGGCCTGATAGCAGCAACAAATTTCAAAAATTCTTTAAAAGTTAAACACATATCTTCATAGGTATATAACATGCAATAATCCGAAATGAGGAATATATTTCTATACGTAACTCAAAATCAATGTATGATTTTAAAAACTAACATTAAATATTTAATAAAAGCTGTTTTGAAAATTTTGAAATGAGGTAAATTGGCTCAATCCGTAAATGTGGTGTTAGACATCTTTCAAATAACTTTCAAAATTATTTATTGTTGCTAGGGGTACTAATTAAGCGTAAGTGAGAACCTGTGATACGGGTAGATAAATTAGCAGTAGTACTTTGTAATGCATTCGGAACAAATTAAATGTTATTTTGCCTATGAAAGAATTGAATGTGCGAAATTGACACGAATCGACACAAGTGCAAGTGTCGGCACTCTAGGCTACCTCTCGACTTTCTGATGGCGATAAGAGACGTTCACTTGTGAGTGAAGAAATCAACCGTACTCAACTCAATTGAATTCAATAAAATTTATTGGCATTTCTTTATGCTGCAACGTGCAAAGTGACAGACATCACCTTCTCCATTGCTCATTGCAGGACTGATAGTTAATGGATTCATCAATGTGGTAATTACAACAATCGAGAGGCGCTTTGGACTGCGTTCACGACAAACTGGTTTGGTGGCAAGCGGCTATGACATTGCCTCGTTTTTATGCTTGGTTCCGGTGACGTATTTTGGCGGACGCCTGGGAGCATCCAAGCCACGCATAATCGCCTGGGGTATTATATTGCTTGGCATGGGATCGCTAACCTTTGCTCTGCCTCATTTCTTGGTTGGACCGTATCGTGCTACCACACCAACAACCGGCACCTGTAATGCGGGAATGGATGACAGTAATATCACCCTACAGGTAAGATCGATTCGAAATTTTGTCAATATTTATTCAGTAAAATTGGAATTGTCTTCACCCACAGACCTGTGACATTGTTATCACCGACATAACATCAAATCGCGATTATATAGCCGACGAAACGGATGGTGGTGATAATCTATCGTGGACTGTGTGGCTGTTTTTTGCCGCCCAATTGCTGCATGGTGCCGGAGCCTCACCCCTTTTCACCCTGGGAGTTACCTACATCGATGAGAACGTTTCAAAGAAAATGTCATCCGTTTATTTGGGTAAGTTTTTTTCTCGCTTGCAAGCCTTGTGGACGAACAGACTTCTTATGGTGAGAGTTAGGCGTGGGTTAATAAACGAATCAAGTGAAGCATAAATTTCTATTTGCAAATTTTAGCTTTGTCAGATGTTCTCCCGCTAATGCATATCTTATCGTCAGCGAGTGTTGGCGCTGGCGATGTCGGTGGTGGTAGACATAAGTAAACATTAGTTACGTACTTATATTGTGGGAATTTCCTTTCACCAAAACTATACATCTTTATTTGGAATTTATTTGTTGTGTCGCACTAGGATGCAGGTAAACGAAAAAAAAGGAAAAAGTTATTCACTTGCTCACATTCAAGAAGGAGAAGATATGAGTCGATTCATATTAAATTTTATTGTGAACATGAAATTAAAGACAAATTTATGACAAAAATTGCATTAAAAAACACCTGTGATAAATTTATATTTTAGAATGCTTGGAGTTTTTTAGAATACGGAGTAGTCCATGTAATGAAGTTTTTGGAATCGCTCATGGCCATTGGGCTAGGTTCACGTTTATAAAATAAATTGAATTGAAATTGAATATCAGATAACTGAAACTTAACTGGAAGAGAACTATTACGAGTTTCCCCTGTCCAAATCGAAAATTGACTCAGCTTTAAGAAAACCATACATGACTATATTTATTAGATTACTGATCGGTTTTAAATTACAAATATATATAGTTGATCAATAGGTCCGTATGAAAACAAAAACTACTATATAATTGAGAAAATTTAGAATATACTTATCTATTTGAAATAAATTAAACAAAGAATCCAATGCAGACAGGGTCAACTTTATGAAACTATATACAACTTGGGATACATACAAGATATTTCCATGAATTTCTTTTAAACCCATAATTATATATATAGTATAAAATATATATATATATTTATATATAGGAATTTCCGGAAAAAAGTCAACCAAAGCCGTAGAGTTTCATTTATTTAATTGTAATAAAATTAGTGAAGTTACGGAAAAAAGTACTAAGAATTGTCATTATTTTTCGGCTTGAGGTCATTGAAAATTAGAATAAAATGTTTGGTTTCTTCTTTAATTTATTTTTATTTTATCAATATTTCGATCATCGTCGATAACCCACATCCGGAATTGGATTTTGAGCTTCTTATTAACACTATTCCACTTCCACACTCATTGACTTGACTTGCTCTACTTTGTCATTATTTTTTCTTGTTATTAGCATAAATACTAATGTAATGACTATAAATGTAGATACTGCAGAAAAAAATGTTACGTGAGTTATGTTGCGTGAGTGACCCAGAAAAATCCTTCATTGATTTTATTACTTATGTGAAAAAATTTTAAAGTTCAAAAATTATCATTTAATTCGCAGAGTTTTCCCATTATTAGCAATGATGTCTAAAGTCATGTATATTTGAAGTCGAGTAAATGATTGCCCGTTTCCGGCTTTTATCTCAAAAGATAAAAACCGAAGGCTCTCAATTAAGGCCTATAAATTAGGTCATCCAGGGAGATCAGCTGCCTATCATGATTGTTGTCAATATAAAAACGCAAACAAAGTCAACATTTTTGATATTGACTTGAGAAAAACAGCTGACTTTCGTTAGCCTGGTGACCTTATTAATAGATTTTTCTCTCAATTGTGATAATCTCTTAAAATACTACAAAAAGTTTTACGGTTGAATTGTAAAAAAAAATTAAATGTGTTTGATTTTGTCTCCGAAAGTCCTGTCCGCAGTCACCGGAAATGCCTATATATAAATGTGAATAATATGAAGCAAACTGGAAAAAATCCACCACACATCCTTCTAGTCGGTAGACCATGCAAAATTTCGTGTTATTCGGACAAACACAGGGTTATTGGTGCTATTTTTACACGAAATCTGAGGAAATATATATGCGCTTTGTTTACAAAAATACATGAACATGCGTTGGATCATGCCTAAAACGATTAAAAAAGTGATTCTAACTATAAAGAGTGATTCTAAGTGACTATGGGTCTCTCTGGATTCATTCTACATGATAAATACACAAATACATAATAACTTTTACCATGGTTAACGAAGTTTTTTTTTTAACTAGAATCTAGTTTACACATTATAATTGATCATGATTTAAGGCCGTATCAGGGTTTATTTTCTTAATCATGTTGAGATTACCAACATTTGGTAGGGTTTTTTTTTGGGCAGGGTTTATTTTAAATCATGATCGAAATCATGATACTAATGAACAGTTTTTGTACAAAAAAAAACTTCTCTCTCATAATTATCCAAAATTTGCAACTGTTTTCACATTTTGTTTGTTCTATATTTAACTGATGCCAAATGCAAAAACCATGGCACCATGAATAGGTAGTCCATTTAGAGCAGCTGATGTCTTGATTAACTGTCAAAGTGCGTAATTTCTATTTGAATTCGATGTGCAATGTTGCTAACCATGTGAAATATTATAAGGAAAAATTTGACAGATTGTTGAGACAAAAACAAAGGTTTTTGTTGTGATACATCACCTTATTATTGCATCATGGCACAAACGAATGATGCAAAGGAAAATAAAAATTATTTATAGAATTTTTGTGTTTATAAGGGATTTGTATATGCCTTTCTGAAACATACATTTTTTGCTCAAATCTATAATTTAGTTTGTTTACAAACAAACGTCAGCTGATATTTACTTAGACAACGATTAAAGGTATGCGTAAACAATTAGGGTGTATTTCTGGATTTCGTTAATCCAGTGGATTTAAAATCCTATATGTAAATGTACTTTAATAGACCTACATATTTGTACTTTAGAGAAATAAAATTTCTTTTGAATATAGAATTTTACAAAAAAATCATGAATTGTGAATAGAAATGGAATTGCAGGATAACTACTGCTTGAATTTAATAAACATAGCCAGACAACGTGACACTTTTTGGTAACAACAACAACAACACAGGAAAACGTTAAAAACTGTAGAACTAATATTGCATGCAATGAGGCAAAATACAAATACCGTCACCACATTGATTCGAGCAACAAATAATTTAGCCGCTCCATCCCCCAAATGCAAGTGAGACACATTTCCCTGATAAATTGAATATTTAGAATATGACCCAGATAGGAGATACAAAAGACAAGCCGAAGTGTGGAAATGCGTAAAGTATCCTTAGTTCGTCATCACTATGCAACACAAAAGGATTTGACGCTTATTAAACGAATCCCAAGGAATTGCTGAATCGGCAAACATCAACATATAATAATAGACATGCGTTGGGGGGCGGGCGTTTGCATCACCACTATCCGCCCTTCTAACTATTTGTCTTCATCAGATATCAAACAGGGGCGATTTCCATGGAACTGCGTACGGTCTCTCCTCGTCGCAATTTTTTCTTTTCTATTTGTCGTTCAAACAGACTGTCTGTCTGTCTGTCTGCCTGTTTTTCTATTTGATCTGTTGTTTTCATCTTTGTTTCAGTTTCAATTTCACTTGCTTTGTGCTGCCAAGCAAGCGGGTGTCTGTCTCAAAGTAAACATCGAATTGAAAATACATATTTGAAAATTTATTGGTTTCCAGTTAAGATAATCTAAGACCTCAAAAACATTTGCAGACAAAGACGGTTTGTTACTAATTTGTCGCGCAATTGGCAGATAGGGGATATTTAGTCATTTGCCGACAATTTTATATGCCTCACTTGATATTGTCATTGATATTGAAATTGAAATCGTGCTTTGTTTGTGCCCTTAAGAATACCAATTCCATTATGAGTTGAAACATATGTATAAATATATGTAGCAATATTTGTATATTTAGTGCCCTTTCGATGTAACGAAGTTGTAAAACTTGTTCGAGTCAATTTAATTGGCCACCAACTATGCTTGCAAAGGGACATTGTGATATGGGGTGGCATTTTACACGTTTTTTTTTATTTATTTATTTTTTTTCATTTTTAGGAACCTACTACACAATGACGATGCTTGGACCAGCTGTGGGCTATGTTTTGGGTGGACAACTGCTGTTGATCTACACGGACTTTCTTCAAATTGATGTATCTGAGTAAGTTAAAACTTGTAGTTATCTGTAAATCTGAATATATTATTATTATACTAAAACTAAAAACGGCGTGAATGTACATTCATTTATTTTAAATTTATTATTCAAAAATAGTCATCTGTATTATTGTAAATTAGGAACAACATACATACATTTTGATTCATTGCGCTATTTGATCTTTCGTGTTATGTGATCATAGATGACTGCTTTGTCGCCACTATAAACCGAATCGTTTGAAATATGTACTTATGAATCTACATTTTTTTGATTGGGCGACAAGGTAAGCTATGTTCCTCCCTACTTTTCGTTAACGACCCATTTGATTATTAAAACATATATTTTTGGTTGACGACCATTTCAACGTCTTTGTAACCAGTCACTAACGACAGTACCAATATTGTTCCCAAAGACATCGATCGTATTTTACAGCATTTGTAAAAAAGAAAACAAGGTGTAAGAATTATGTATAGTATATTTAAATATTTGTTAGTCATTTGAAAGTATTTACCATATATGCTAGAAACAAGATTTGTATACATTTTTAACTGTTTTTTGTTCCGTCAACGTTATGATCCAATATATATTTTTCCCTTCCGATTTTTGCATTAAAATCTACTAGCAGAATTTTAATGACATGGCAAGGGCAGCGGTCATATGCAGTTTTTAGGCGCTCGTAAAAAATGTCTTTGGTCTGTTCATCTTTGTCTTCCGTCGGAGCATGGGAGCAAATAAGACTGATGTAGAAGAACTTCGCTTTTATACCGATTATAGCAATTCCCTCATCTACTAGAGTGAAATGTCCATATGCCTTTAACGCGCATTCTATTTCGGTGTGCACCTAAAAAAATACATCGATGTATACCTATATCAATGCGGTCCATTAAGAACCATGGATGACCCAGCTCACACTATTTTTGAGATTAGTTTTTGGATAAGTTCTGTTTTCGCAACAGTTCAAAATCCATACCAGGTCATTTATTGTAATGGAAATGATTCACAAAAAACGCAAATAAATCCGCGATATTTTCAAAAACATTTTTTGCCAAATTTCGTGTTTTTAAAAGGCCAGTTTCCGCCATTCTAGTAGATGGATTTTCACGAAGAAGATTTTATTTCATCCGAAACGTAAAAAGCCTTACTGATCGCGGGTACCAATATGAATCAAATGGCAGATCTAAAAATTTGACCTGAAAATTGTTTTTTTTTTTTTTTTAATTTGATCGCACAAAATTTTCACCTTTGGTTAAGTATTACTCTGAAGCTGTGCATACTACACAAAATATATATCAAATTACTCAGATTCGCGACTACAATAATCTTATAATCGACTTTCAGAAATTCCAGTAATAGAAGTAAAATTCAAAAAACACTCAAAATTGAGCTTCAAAATGTCAGCATCATTTAAAGCTAGATGCAGATAACATTTTGAAAAATGATACATAAGAGACGTAGTCCTCCTTTTGTAGGCTTCTAGTTTTACTTTGACACGAAGACCGTGAAATGAGTGGCTTAGTCACAAATCGGTGGGGAACATAAAGAACTGGTTCGTCTCAACCTGTTTCTACACATTTTTTACATTAAAGTAGACCAGCTTCCACCCAAATATAGTTTGGATGTCAATATCATGAAAAGTTTGCTTCACTTTTTTTCATATACTCAAGTAATTCCCGAATTATTAAGGGGTGAACCTCCGCTTCAGCTATGTTTAAAAATTGGCAATATTGCCCATATGTAAATATAAAATAAATCATGGTATAATAATAGAAGGTAACAGCAAGTGTTGTTGTACAACAAACGATACAACAACCACATGGAAATTTGTTGTTGTAAGTTATACTATTGTCAACTTCATTTGACAGAAAAATGTCAAGAAACAAATAAATTATCAACAAATTTTATTTATTTTGAAAATGTAATATTTTCGAATCCTCAAGATAAAACGTAAAAACATGAATGAAAATCTATCAAGTTTATATTTCTATCGCTTCCACATCTTTCCTATAATTTAGCCATTGCCACTTATATGTGTAACCCATATGAAAATGCTGGGAATTCGCGAGTTATTCCATGAAGAAAGATTTGCTTCCTCAAACTTACCGCAGATTGAGTAAATTGAATACGGGAGGACATTTAATAAAGAACAATTTCGAATTGTATCCGTTCCCAATTTTCCTGTTGGGTGATTTTAAAAAACATAATTTGTCATATTCATATTGACACTAGTATTACGTTGGAATCAAATCAGCTGGGTTTTGCTGTTACCTTTTATAATTGTACCATGAAAATAAATATACAGTAGTGTTGGCAGTTTATTTGGGATACCATTTGTGTTTTGTTTTTGCAAAATAGTCAGGCTGAATTCCAGTTTGTTGTTTTTATAAAAAAAACAACTATTTATTAGTGGGGAATGTATGATATTGTTTACCGAGGGGTAAGGCAGGGAAGACTATAGTTTCGGATCACGCCACTGATCCTCATCAGTTCCCTAGTTTTTTGTTGTGATATTCTCCCCAGAAAATAAATATATTTATATCAAATATATACTTACCACTTTTCCAGTTCCTTAAGCTCTGTACAAATTGGGAATATTCGCTGTGTATCTTTGGAAATTCCCAAGTTACGTCGAAGTAACACATTATACTACTGTGTAGCTTTGGAAATTCCTAGGTTACGTCGAAGTAACACATTATACTCCGCCAGTATATTCGCCAATATCTACTGTCCTACCACAATTTGCTTTAATTTTTGTATTTGCTGATATATTTCTTTCATCCATGTCCACATTTTATGCTATTGTTATACACATAAATAATAATTTATTTATACACAATTATGTAACATAACTATAAATTGTTCTTTACATGGCAGCACATCATTTTACACTTTTAGAAACCATTATTATAACCACACTGTGCAATATTATTTAATACTAGCTGGACCCGTGGCGCTTCACTGCCCCTACTAAAGTGATTAACATAGGATAGTTGACGTAGGTGTTATAGTAGCCCCAATTACTGTTGGACTATATATATTGCGAAGTGTACTAATACCTGATTAATGTATACGTTATTTGAAACAGCTTGACTTGTCTCAAAAGGATTATATACTAATATATTTACTACAATATTCACATGTTTTGCATTAATCGTGCAAAGACCAATAAAATCCTTCATTCGCATTACCACCTACCTTTATGTCTGTATTCTTATCTGATTTCCCATTATATGGCTGGGATCCCTTCACATTGTAATATTTTTAACGAACTTAGATTTAGTCTTTTTCTTAACTCATGGTTGTATCATGTTCTTAACTGTACATACCTTGGTATTTTTAGCAAACCAATATGAAGATAGAATTTTGTGGCTATTGAGTAAGTAGTTTTCTCTATTCATCCTGGAAGTAATAGTTTTAGTAATATCCGTTTGATCAACTAAACTCAATTTCTCATGTAATATACACATTTTGTTTTCAGGTCAGCTATGATGATAACCCACCACAGATTTCAGATTATTATAACTTTTAATCCATCATCCGGATAAAAAATGATGAGTGGAAAATTTCTGATTTTGACCAAATTTTACTTCCTGGTCATTTAATATTGGATGTGTACTTATCTGAGTATCATACATATTTTTATGAACAAATTTATTCAAAGTATTTAGATATGTGCGTAGAATATTAATATTTATTCAGTGGTATGATGATGAATTTTGAATGTTTATTTTGCTTCCATGGGATGGCATTCTCAGTAAAATCTGTTGAGCGGTTTTTGACTAATCAAACAAAAAATATTATTATCGCTGTATGCAACGCATTTTTGCTCATTTTTGTATGGATGATGTGTATTTACACCCACGTTATTCAGACAAATTTTGAAGACGGTATCTACCGTTCTAAAGATATACGCATATTACGTGTACAGCAATTGTGATATTCACTATTGATGCTATAACCCTGCATCCACGCGGAAGTTTAGAAGTTTATATAGCCTATGTTACTTTCAGGACACGTAATACATACTGTGTAAATCTCTCTACCAAAAAGTATTATTATTCGCCCCCTTTTTGGGGTAGTCCCCATATAACCCCCTTTCTTATATTAAAATAGTTATTTGATTGGTTCCGCGTTTTGAGTTTGGTTCTAAGACTCTATTGTAATTATTTCACCTGCGGAAATGATTACTGAATCGTTTATTCAAAATGTGCTAATGTTGTATTTTCAGAAGATAATTTTTTCAATCACCATTTGATTCGGATCATGATAATCAGATTACAAATTATAATGGACAGACGGAAAGATGATAAACGATATACAAAAATTTGAGTCTAGGAGTAGTGCAGCTACAAACTCTTGATGCAACACATAGTTTTAACATTGATGTGTAGGGTATTAAAACATTTGGTTGAATTAAATTTGCCTAAATTTTGTAATGTCAAGGCGAATTAAATTTTATTTGCCTTGTTTACAAATTTTGACATATTATGTTACCAAAAAATTGCTTTGTTGTAGTAATTCGCCGATGCGACTACCTAATATATGTGCCTTGGTCGCATCGACCTATTTCTTTGTAACATTAAATGTCAAAACAAATTGTTGTAATTTAGAATTCGCATTAAAAAATAAATTAATTTTTGTAAATAGAATTGAAGTTTCGTAATTTTTTTCAATTTTACTTCGAGAGAACCAATATACCTAAATATGGGCAGGAATTTTGTATAAGGGCTACATCAAAACTGGAAAGATTTTCTTGAAAGCTGTTTTTAACACTTCACGAGCCCATAATATTTATTGAAATGATTCAACCAATCAAAACAAATTGTTTTTATACCCTACACATCTATGTTACAAGTATGTGTTACCTCAAGAGTTTGTAGCTGCACGACTCATTTCTTGTAGTTTGGGCTGTAACATGCCCAAGCTACAAGAAATGAGGCTGAACAAAATTATTTGTTGCCAAGATACATTTTTCATATACAATTTGGTGGTATATGAACTATTATTAT